TGCTAAGCGAGTGCTCTACTGTTGAGCCCCAACCCCAGCCCTGTTTATTATTTTTACTGCTACTTATTTTTTTGGCTTATGGAGCAAAGATTTATTGAATGTGCAGACAGGTGCTGGGGATACAACGAGAACAAAACTGGCCTGACCCCTGTTCTCATAAAGCTTTAAAGAATGAAGAAAGCCAGTCAATCAGCAAGTGATTACATCAGGGAGAGATGCTTGAAGAAATGGTTTTAAAAATGGAAAAAGCATGAAGCGCAAAGACAATCATTACAGCATTATGTATACCAGCAAAAAATTGGTCACAATCTATGTCTAACAGTAAAGAGAGATACATATTCCATGGGCTATCATGCTGCCATTAAAATGATCTCAGAGAGCATCCATGATAATGATATGAGACTTATTTTTTAGTTGTAGTTGGACACAATGCCTTTATTTTATTTATCTTTATGTGGTGCTGAGGATCAAACTCAGGCCTCACACATGTGAGACAAGCGCTATACCGCTGAGTCCTAGCCCCAGCCCCTGATATGACACTTATTATGTAAAAAAGTAAAAAACTAGCAGTGGTGGCACATGCCTGTAATCCCAGCAATTCAGGAGAAGCAAGGAGGAAGGAGGATTTCAAGTTCAAGGCTAGCCGTGGCTACTTAGCAAGACCCTATCTCAAAAAAATTAAAAAGGGCTGGGGATGTCTCTCAGTGGTAGAGTGCCTCCCCCACCCCAAAAAGTAGACAAAGGATATAAAAGAATATAAAGTTGTATGAAAACATATTCAATCATATTAAAATATACATAAAGCCCAGAAAGAAACTCACAAAAAAATGCTAATGATGGTTGAGAGCAGGACTATTCAAGGCACAGAATCAGGCTGAACTGCTGCTTTTGTAAGTCATGTTCTTCTGGCTCAACCTGAGTTGCTGGAGAAAAGGGCCCAAGGCACACTTGGATTCAAATCTTGCTCCAGTACCTTGCATCATCCAGTGTGTGCAGCACCTCACTTGTGTAACCTTAGACAATTTTTTTTTTTTTGGTTCCACGGATTGAACCCAGAAGCGCTTAACCACTGAACCACATTCCAAGCCACCCCCACCCCTTTTTTTGTTTGTTTGTTTTAAGATAGGGTGAGATAGGGTCTCACTCAGTTGCTTAGGGCCTCACTAAATTGCTGAGGCTGACTTTGAACTTGTGACCCTCCTGCCTCAGCCTCCTGAGCTGCCAAGATTCCAGGAGTGCGCCACCACGCCCAGCTTGGACAAATTTACTTAACCTTTCTAGGCCACCTAGTGTACCTCTCGGGATGGTGGCCAAGATGAAATGGAACAAGGAACGTAAGCATCCTGGAACACTCTAGTCCCCAGGCAAACAGTGGCCATGATAGTAAGTAGCATTTCCTTTCTTCTTTGGTTTTCAAACTTCCTATAGTTATAATTTTCTTTAAAATTCTAAAGCTAATAAACACAATTATTTGAATTTACAAAAGGTCATGCTCTGTTCCCTGGGGATCTGGAGCCTGTTCCTGGGAATGCGGTTGAAGGCTTTCTTCCAGCCCTGTTGTGACCCACTCAGCCAGAGAAAGACAGTGATCTGAGAACAGGGCTGCATATTTGTGCTCTGAAGGACCCTGGGAGCATTATTTAGAGAGGACATTCTCTCCCAGGCCTAAGCTGCTCTTTCACCCAGCAGCTGCAGACTGGACTAAGCACCCAGAGAGACCCACCCTGGCCCTGAAACCTTGCCTGAGTCCTGACAGCCTGTGGCACAATCCTCTTTCCTCAGGAGCAGCTTTTGGTTTCTGAACACAGAAGCTGAGCTCAACTTTATCATGCCCAGTACCCAGAAATGGGCTATAGCATTTCTGTGTGGGGTGAAGAAAATGTTTTGGAAATAAATGATAGTAAAATGTATACAGAGGCTGGAGTTGTGGTTCAGCGGTAGATCGCTTGCCTAGCATGTGTGAAGCACTGAGTTTGATCCTCAGCACCTCTGGACTTATTTTTATAAAAAATAAATAAATAAAATAAAGATACTGAGTCTTTCTACAACAAAATATATATATATATATTTTTAAAAAGGGTACACATAGTGGGGTAGGGAGGGGGAGCATGGGAGGAATAGACGAACTCCAGATAGGGCAAAGGGGTGGAAGGGGAAGGGAGGGGGCAGGGGGTTAGAAATGATGGTGGAATGTGATGAACATTATTATCCAAAATACATGTATGAAGACAAGAATTGGTGTGAATGTACTTTATATACAACCAGAGATATGAAAAAATGTGCTCTATATGTGTAATATGAATTGTAATGCATTCCGCTGTCATATATTAAAAAATTAATAAAAAATGGGGTACAAACTTTCAGTTATAAGATGAGCAATTTCTGGAGCTGGGACTGTAGCTCAGTAGTAGAGTGCTCGCCTCACACGTGTAAGACCCTGGGTTCAATCCTCAGCACCACATAAAAATAAATTAAAAAAAAAAAAAGGTATTGTGTCCAACTACAACTAAAAGAAAAAATAATATAAAAAAAGATGAGCAATTTCTGGGGATGAATGTACAACCTTGGTGGTGATGGGTATGTTCTTTGTGATAATCATTACACAGTGTATATGTATATTGAATACATAAACATATTGCGTACATTAAATACATACAAAATTAAACCCAAAAAATCCATAATGAGAAGACTAAAAGAGAGGTTTCAAGAAATAACCTGGACTAAACAACACCATGATAGGAGACCTGGATTTAGGTTTCTGTTCTGCTTCTTATTTGACTTCAGGACCTTGAAAAACTTAACTCCTGTAAGCCTCAGCTTTCTCTTCTGCAAAATGGCATAAATCCATGCTGCCCTCGGTGGGTGATCAGGGAGCACTAATAGATCAGATGCTGTGGAACTCTTCTGCAAAATACCCAAGAAGTATCAATTAGGGTTATCTCCCACAGGCCCCAAACAAAAAGGAAGAAGGAAGGAAAGAAACCTATCACAAATACAATACCAGAGTACTCTTTTTTTTTTTCTTTTCCTCTATGGATGACTGAAATTCCGCCTTAAGGCTTTTATTCGTGTTACATGGAAACATCCAAAAATAAGGCAAGGAAGAGGGGAAAGGAAGGAGACCTCTCAATCTCTGGCTCCTTACTGGGAATGAGATGCCATATTTTCTTTGGGTTGGTTCTGGGGGGCTTCCAGGGAGGAGACAGTGAGAGTCAAGGTGCCAGAGGAGAACATCTCAGCATCATAATTTTGCTCTGGCATTGGACAGAACACAAATGTCCTTGGCTTGAGCCCTTTTTCTTTCCTGTTCCCCCTCCCTCTGCCTTCCTACCATAGGTTGCCTTTCCCATCCTTCTCCTGGGAGATGTATTTCTGTCTCTTTTTTCATCTAAAGCAGAGGAAATGAATCATCTCTCGGCTTGTTTAGTAAACAGCCTCTTACTCCTGACCCCAGCCGGCTCTCCCAGCACCCTGTGGCTGCTCCAGTCAATACCCTCATGGCTGGTTGTTCTTCAGAATGTTTGTCCTCTGGGCCTGGTGGCTTGACCTCCTCTGCGCTGGGGATGATGGGAAATGACACATAGCATTCCAGATGACAATAACACAAGCTGGCCAGGAGGGCAAGGGAAGCAAGGGAACCACTGTGTTTTGAGAACACTGTGTGTCATTTCAAAGACCCGAATAGGCAGGCAGATCTCAAAATTCTCCTTTTACCGATGAGGAGTCCAAGGCTCAGAGAAGTGAAAAAGCTTGTCCAAGGACAAACAGCAGGTGATAGAGCCAATATTCAAACCTGAATTTGTGTATTCTTTGATTGGTTCCATTATATTATGGTGTGTGTATGTACGTGTATGTGTATATTTTGAATGTGGGTGTGGGCAGGTCAGCTACAATATCAGCTTCAGTCCATTCATCAGGATGGAAATCAAGCATCATGTGCATTAAGCCATATGCATGCCATAGATGGATGTTACCAACAAAGGAGATGTCAAGTACACACAGTATGTATTTTACCAGGAGGCAGATGAGTGTCTGAGGATGGTATCAAGAAGAGAAGGCCAAGCTCCGTGGCACATGCCTGTAATCCAGAGGCACAGGAGGCTGAGGCAGGAGGATTGCAAGTTCAAAGCCAACCTCAGCAATTTAGTGAGGCCCTAAGCAACTTATTGAGACCCTATCTCTAAATAAAATATAAAAAAGGGGCTGGGGATATGGCTCAGAGGTTGAATATCCCTGGGTTAAAATTAAAAAGGTGTGTGTGGGGGTAATGAAATGTTCATGTTCAAGACCATCTAAGCCCTGCCCACACCTTATGGTGATGGAACTTGACAGGACCCTGCTATGTCCAGGTGGTTCAGTTCCTGGTGAACACAGTCATGCAATTATTTTTCGATTTCCAAAAAACGTGCGGGTGCCATTTCTAAGAGATAAAAGAGATACAGGAATAACACTGCTGATATCCAGCTCACTAGTGAAGACTCGTGGAATTAACCCAAGTATGTATCACTATGGTGCAAGGTGGACAGAAAGTGCCCAGGGCCAAAGGGGATGAACAAATCCTATCATAGAGTTCTAGAAGGACCAGAAGCTGGAGAGACTCTTTGATACTGGGTAGTAAGAAGGTTTTCTTGAGAAGGTGATGTTTGCAATATCCTATGTGCCGAAATAGATGTAAGATCCTAACAAAAGTTAGGTTCTGTTTAAGTTTTCCAAGGAGCCCCAAGATGTGGACATATGCCCTTATTCTTCCACTATAGCGGTGGAACCTGAGGCCCAAAGAGGCTGAACATTATTGTCCACAGTCTTGCAGCTAGGAAGTGGCGGGCCAAAAGTTGATCTTGCTCCAGGGCAACGACTCAAAGTCTGGTGTTCCTGCCCCTCCCCACCTGTGGAGGGGAGGGGCGGGACTGGCCCGGCCGAGGGCGGGGCAGAGGCCCTGGAGGGGCGGAGCTGGAGAGGCGGCGGGCTGGGTCCTTTTCGACGGTGGGGACTAGCGCACTGGTCATGGGCGGCCGCGGGCCCGGAGGCGGCCGGGCTGAGCCCTGCTGAGCCCGCCCCGCCCGCCATGGGCGACCGCGAGCGCAACAAGAAGCGGCTTCTGGAGCTGCTGCAGGCTGCGGGCACCGGCAACGCGCACTGCGCCGACTGCGGGGCGGCGGGTAAGGGCGCAGCGGCGCGGGGCGCGCGGGGCGCGCGGGGCAAGTGCAGCTCGGGACTTGGCCAGCCAGACTCTCCCCTACGAGCACACCGGGTCCGGTTCTATCTTCGTAGGACCCAGAAATGTCCCCTATTGAGCTTTGGGACCCGGACTCCCGTCCATCCAGACGGTGAGCCTCCCACCCGGACGCAGGATCCTGACTACCGACTCCAGACCGGACGCAGATCTTTCCACGTCCTGGGACCCTCCCGATATTAGATCCCGGAGCTGGGCACCCTGACCTTCCTGTCCACCGCCCCCACCACAGACACCCTACGGCTCAGGACCCAGCTCCCTGTGCCATCCCTCGAGACCTAGGCACTTCCCGCGCTCTGGATACAAACATCTCACTCACCGAGGAGCCCTAGACCTCAGCCCCAGGCCTCCTGATGGTCATGTGTCCCCTGTCCCTCCCCTGGACGCCTCCGAGATCTTTCCCTTTCCCTCTCCACCGCGATCAGACCTGAGGAACCGTGATTCCGACCTGCCCACTTGCAGCTCCCAGCCCGTCGCTTGGCTGCCGGTCCTTCCCCGGTGCTCCTCTCAGTTCCCCCTCAGTTCTGTCACTTCCACGTCGCGCCCGCCTCGGCCTCGCCCCCATCCCTTGGAATCTCTCCAAGATCGTCACCCTGGTGGCCGCCGCGGTGGCGGGTGGGCCGACCACATTTCATGCTAGTAACTTAGCTGTTCCAAGGTGGGGAGCCCCGCACAGGCAGAGCTGGCCACAGCCTCCGGAATCCTGTCAGGTCCTATCTGTCCCAGAGCCCCAGTCCAGCTTTGGTTTCTTCGCTCAGCTCTGCTCAGCTACCCTCCTGCCCCCGCAGATCCCGACTGGGCCTCTTACAAGCTGGGAATCTTCATCTGTCTCCACTGCTCTGGCGTCCACCGCAACTTCCCGGACATCAGCAAAGTTAAATCCGTGAGACTCGACTTCTGGGACGACAGTATTGTGGAGGTAGAAGGGTGTGCAGGTGGAATTGCAAAGTTGGGGTGGAGACAGGGAGTGGGTGTTCCCAGTCCAGAGAAGAAGAAACTGAAGCCCAGCGAGTGTCAGAGACTAACAGAGGAAACACAGTAGACGGCATTTTAGACAGAGGCCCTAAGGACATAATCTGACTCATCACTTGCTCACTTAGAAGCCCTGAGGCCCTGAGCTACTTACTTAATCCTAGCTGTGAACTCTTAGTTTCCACATCTGTATTATAGGCATACCTACCTTCTCATAGGGATGCTAGAAGCATTAAATGCAGGCTCATTTGAGGAATAAAGTAGGCAGTCAATTAACAGTTGCTCTTATTATCAATGGAAGTCCTAGACTGGGAGAAGAGAAACATGCTATGGTCCTCCTGCCCTCCGGGAGGTGGGAAGAGGACCACTTTGCTTTACTGCCCTGTGGGCACTGAGGACTCCGTTAACGGGTGGTGGGGGGGTAAATCTTTCGGAGAGCAGGCAGTTTTATACTGTACTTGTTGCCTGAGGGGTTCAAGAACAATTGGGGAAGCAGATCAAATGACTTAGCACCCACTCTGTGCCAGGAACCGTCCCAGAAAACCACTAGGATGGATGTTTTACTTATTCAGCTAAAACATAGTTACTCTAAGCCTACTATGTGTTAGGTGCTGGGAGAGAACAGTGGACAAGACAAGGTCCTTGCTTACCTGGGACTTAGATTCTAGTTCAGAAGTCAATCTGCACATAAACCTGAAGCGTTTTATTTGTGCCTTTTCTTCATTTTTATATGTGAGATCTCAGGGTCAGTCCTAGAATAAATGGCAGAATCTCAACCCTGTTGGGATCCAAACCTGGTACATATCCTGTGACATAGCCCAACAGCTCCCAGGAAGGTGAAGAGTACGGTTCACTCTAACCAAGGGTGTCCCTTCAAAACCTGGCGTTTCTTCCCACTGCTGCTCTCGCCTAGATATGCTACCTCCACCGTCCACTCTGGTCCACTGATCACCCTGACATATGTATTCTATGGGGCCAGCACCCACTTCCATCCTCCAGCTGCCTCTGTCTTTTGAAGACATTTAGAGCTGCTGGGGGTCCTGCCATCTGCGGAAGGAGTAGGTGAAAGAATGTGAGCTTTGGAGTCAGACAGGTCTAGGTTCAAATTCCAGTTTTCCACTTCTAGCTATGTTGCCAAGGACAAATCATTAAGCCTCTCTGAGCCCAAGTTGCCTCATCTCTAAAATGAAGATGGCCATATTAAAATGGCTAAGGGTATCCAATGAGCCACTGTGTAAGAATTGTGAAGTATTGTTTCCGTTTGAAGCATGGATATTATTGCCCCTCATTGGTCAGCCTGGGACTTCCTGGCAGTGCAATTAGCAGGCCTGGTGGGACATGTCCTTCTTGGGGGCAGTTCCTTCTGACCCAGCCTAGAAGCCAGCGAGACCTATAGCCTTCTGGGTAGACCAGGGTTTCATTTCACATTTTTCCAAGTTCTAAGATTATCTTAAATTGCTGTTGTCTTGCAGTTTATGACTCACAATGGGAACCTCCGCGTGAAGGCCAAGTTCGAAGCCAGAGTCCCAGCTTTCTACTACGTCCCCCAAGCCAATGACTGCCTGTAAGTGGGCAATTCTTTAGGGGCTGGCTGAGAGGTTTCCTGGGTCCCATCCCCCAAACCTCTACCCCATCTCAGATGCCTTTGTCTGTGGCAATCTCTCCTGTGGACCAGGTCAGCAGGTAGATCCAGGAGTGCATCTGATACCATCACAAATGAATCCTGATTTAAACTAGGCATGATGGCACCTGCCTATACCTCAGCTACTCAGGAGGCCAAGGCAGGAGGATTGCAAGTTTGAGGCAATTGAAAGTTTGGCCAGCTTAGTGAGATCCTGTCTCAAAAAAAAAATAATAAAAAGGGCTGAGAATGTAGCTCAGTGATAGTACACCTGAATTTAATCCTCAGTACTGAAAAAAAAAAAAAAAAAAAAAACCTTAAGGCTTAAGCCTCTTTCTACCTCTGTTGTTTGGTATGTCATTTCCCTCTTTGGGCCTCAGTTTCCATTGCTGTGAGATGGGGAATTTTCTGAACTGTCTATCACTCTGCCTCCTATGTTCTGAGAGCCTACAGGTGGTAGAGGAGAGATGTGGGTATTTTAATAGAAAAATGTGTTTCAGCTACTTCCTGTTGAGTGTTCTGTCTAGGACTATCCCACCTCAGCTCAGGTTGACTACAAAAACTTGCTTAAGCTGCAGATCCTTAAATAATAACTATAAAAGTGCTGGGCATAGTGGCGCATGCCTGTAATTCCAGCAGTTTGGGAGGCTGAGGCAGAAGGATAGTGAGTTCTAAACCAGCCACGGCAACATAGCGAGACCTTGTCTCAAAATAAAAATATAAAAAGGGATGGGGATGTGACTCAGGGGTTAAGTGCCCTTGGATTTAATCCTCAGTACCATAAATAAATAAATAACCATAAAAGAAATAACAGCTGTCAGGTGTGGTGGCACATGCCTGTAATCCCAGCTACTTGGGAGGCTGAGGCAGGAGAATCACAAGATCAAGGCCAACTTCAATAATTTAAATGAGACTCTGTCTCAAAATAAAATAAAAAGGACTAGGGAGTAAGTCAGTGGTAGAGTGCTTCTGGATTCATCTGACCAAAGGTTCTCTGTTTTTAGGGTGTTAAAGGAACAGTGGATTCGAGCTAAGTATGAGAGACAGGAGTTTATGGCTGATGGGAAAGCGGTCCCTCCCCCAGGTAAGGTAATTTTTGTATCTTGTGGAATCAGTGTTCTGATGAGCCCTACCAACAAAATGCCGACTATTAGGAGCAAAATCCATCCATGAGATGTCTGTTGCCCTGGCTTTGCCCACAGTATCCAAGGGGTGGATATCTGCACCTTGAAACAGCTAGAAAATCAGCAAGTGGGGTCTTGCAGTCTGAACAGCAGAGAAGCATCTAGGTCTCAGATCCTTGCAGGGCCACAGATGTATGCAGAATCTTAGCAAGAATTGTAGGATGATTTCCACACCGGGCAGGCCCATTAAACAAGGCATGGCGCTCCTGGCTAATGCCATTCCTGGTGCAGCTCACAGCTTAGTGAGGAGCATGGGCTGCCTTTCAGCTTCCCTTTCTGCCATTGTAAGGGCACAGCCTCATTGGTGGCCATGAATCTATGGCAGTTTTTAGCCTACTGCCCTGAGTCCAAGCTGACAGTGACCCAGAGAGCAAAGAGTGGCAACTCTTGGAGAAACAGAGGCAGCTAACTTTAGCTACCAGGAGCACCAATTAGTCTTCATACCAGCAAGCACCTTGAGGCCATTCATTATTTCCAAAGTTTCATGAGGCTGATGGCCATGTGAAGTTGGGCCGAACCACATATATTTAGGCTTCTTCCAAAATCCTTCCAGTTTGTCAAGACATAGACTACTTAAGGTTTATTGTGTCTCCAAGTGAGACAGCCTGATACCATGGAGAGCCAAGAAAGCCAGGTTTTGCACGGGGTGGGAGTGGAGGGGTCTGACTGAGATGATAAGCCATAGCAAAGCTGGCCCCAGGCAAGACCCTTGCTCCCTGCAGCTGACATAGCCAGTTAGATTGCGGGTATCTAGGCCACAGGTGGAGGGTTCTTTCTGCCCCTGAAACTCTAAGAGGTTCCTGAGCCATTTGTGCATCCTAAGGTCATGGGCATTCACTTCTTCTCTCCCTGGTGGTCAAGGTAACCGAGAAGGAATCCTGTGGAAGCGGGGAAAGGACAATGCACAGTTTCTGAGAAGGAGATTTGTCCTGCTGGCAAGAGAAGGACTCCTGAAGTACTACACCAAGGAGGAGGTAGGAGGCCAGACGGGCCAGGGGCTTCCTCCCTCCTCACTAACCAGCCTTCTTGTTAATGGATGGGCTTGGTCTTGTGGATAATTTCAGATCCTGCGAGACACCACATTCTCCTCCTTTTCCTTGGTTAGGCAATTAATCCAATCCACTGAAAACACACTCTTTGTTCATATAGAATCAGCTTAAACTAGTTCAATTTTGGTTTGGGTTGGTTTTTGAAACAGGGTCTCACTATGTTGCCCAGACTGGTTTTTCTTTTTCTTTTCTTTTCTTTTTTTTTTTTTTTTTTTTTTGGTATCAGGAATTGAACTCAGGGGCGCCCTCACTTAATTGCTGAGGCTGGCTTTGAACTTGCAGTCCTCACTGCCTCAGCCTCCTGAGCTGCTGGGATTACAGGCGTATACCACCACGCCTGATCCCAGGCTTGTCTTGAACTCCTGGGTTTAAGAAGTCCTCCTGCCTCAGCCTCTCAGGTAGTTAAGACTGCAGGTGTGTGCAATCATGTCATGCAACTGGTCCATGTTTAAGCCTCTGATGATCGCTTGATTTTATTTCATTTATCCATTCATTTAAATATTTATTGAGCACCTATTCTGTGGTAGGGACTGGGGATATAGCAATGAACTAAACAATTCCATAACTCTCATGGGACTTTTATTCTAGTGGAAAAAGACAGCAACCAACACATTGTATCCATATGTATTAAGTGGCATATGGGTGATTGACTAGAGAATGGTCAGGAAAGGCCTCTCTGGTGATGGGTGAGCAGAGATCTGAATAAACATGAGGAATAAGTTATGTGGGGACGTGAGGAAGAGGAGGGACAAGGGAGCACTATGTACAGAAGCCTTGAGCACATCATGGTGAGCATATACACCTTTGTGCCAATTAGAAAAAAAAAATGGCCCCATTAGAGGGTGTGACCCAAAACCCTGGTCCCAGTAAGCAGAAACCTGGACTGCAGCTTTCACCCCACATTTTATGCCATGCAGAAACCCAGCCCTAGGCCACTGCCCTGGCCCTGTGTTGGGTATTAGGTGACCAAGTGACTGAGTAAGCAAGCAAAAGAATGGAGGGAGACGAAGTCACTTAATGGAGACTTTGTAGGCCACAGTAAGACGTGTGTCCATGTGCACAGACAGACACGGCTGGGAATCAAACCCGCAGATTTTTTTTTTTTTTTATGGTGCTGGGAATTGAACCCAGGTTCTCCTGCATAAACCCAGAGATTTTTAAAGATCAGCTTTGCCGAAATATAATTTATAGACCATACAATTCAACCATTTAAAGTATACAAGCAATGACTTTTAGTATATTCAAAAGTTGTACAACTATTATTACAACCAGTTTGGGAACTTTTTCATAGTTTCAAAAAGAAGCCCTACACCCTTACCATCACTTCTCACTCCACCCCTACCTCTATTCCCAAGGGCAATCTCTAGGCTACTTTTTGTCTGTAGATTTGCCTATTCTGACATTTTATATTAACAGAATCCTGCATTATGTGCATACTTCTCTCACTTAGCCTGATGTTTTTAAAGTTCATCCATGTTTTAGCATGTTTCAGTACTTCGTTTCTTTGTTTATTTTTTCTTGCTGAATAATATTTTACGGTATGTGTGACATTTAATTTTACTTATTTATTTGGTACTAGGGATTTAACCCCGGGGTGCCCTATCATTGAGCGACATTCCCAACCCTTTTTATTTTTTACTTTGAGACAGGGCCTCTCTAAAGTGCTGAGGCTGGCCTCAAACTTGAGATCTTCTTGCCTCAGCCTCCCAAGATGCTGGGATTTCAGGTGTGCACCATCTCTCCCAGCAGTATGACATTTTATTTACTCACTCATCAGTTGATGGGAATTTGAATTGTTTCCACTTTGGGGATATTATGAATAATGCTGCTAGCGACGTACAAGTTTTCAGGTGAATAGGTTTCCATTTTTCTTGGGTGTACTTAGGAATAGAATTGTTCTTGATCCACTTTGAGTTGAGTTTTGTGCAGGGTGAGAGATAAGGGTTCAGTTTCAATCTCCTACTTACGGATTTCCAGTTTTCCCAGAACCATTTGTTGAAGAGGTTATCTTTCCTCCAATGTAGGCTTTTGGCACCTTTGTCTTGTATGAGATAACTGTATTTATTTGGGTTTGTCTCTGTGTCTTCTATTCTGTTCCATTGTCTTAATATCTGTTTTGGTGCTAATACTATGCTGTTTCTGTAATATAGTAATATTTTAAAAAATATCTTTAGTCGTAGATGGACACAATACCTTTTTTTTTTTTTTTAAGAGAGAGTGAGAGTGAGAGAATTTTTTAATATTTATTTTTTAGTTTTCGGTGGACACAAAAAGTTTTGTTTCCTGATGTGTCTTGTCTGGTTTTGGTATTAGGATGATACCAGTTTCATAGAATGAGTTTGAAAAGGTTTCCTCCTTTCCTGTTTCTTGGAATAACTCAAGGAGGATTGGTGTTAGGTCTTTGAAGTTCTGATAGAACTAGGCTGAGAATCTGTCTGGTCCTGGGCTTTTCTTTGTTGGTAGGCTTTTGATGGCATCCTCAATTTCAATTGCTTAAAATTGATCTGTTTAAATTTTCTATGTCCTCCTGATGGGTAGGTCATATGTCTCTAGAAATTTGTCCATGTCTTCAAGATTTTCTAAGTTTCTAATTATCATCTGTATTCCAGTAGTGCCTGTGGTAATATTTCTTTTTTCATCATGAATTTTAGTAATTTGTGGGTTTTCCCCCTTATCTTGGTTAGCTTGGCTAAGGGTTTTTCAATTTTATTTATTTTTTCAAGGAACCAACTTTTGTTGATTTTTTTAATTGTTTTTTTTTTGTTTGTTTGTTTCAATTTTGTTGATTTCAGCTCTGAATTTAATTATTTCCCATCTTCTACTACTTCTAGTGTTGATTTGTTCTTCTTTTTCTAGGGCTTTGAGATGTAATGTTAGGTTATTTCATTGGTGACTTTCTATTCTTTTTTTTTTTTTTTTAAAGAAAGAAAGAGAGAGAGAGAGAGAGAGAATTTCAATATTTATTTTTCAGTTTTCGGCAGACACAACATCTTTGTTTGTATGTGGTGCTGAGGATCGAACCCGGGCCGCACGCATGCCAGGCGAGCGCGCTACTGCTTGAGCCACATCCCCAGCCCACTTTCTATTCTTTTAATGAATGAACTCAATGCAATGAACTTTTTTCTTAAAACTGCCTTAATAGTGTCCCAGAGATTTTGATATGTTGTATCGCTATTCTCATTTATCTCTAAGCATTTTTTTCATTTCATCCCTGATTTTTTCTGCTATACATTGGTCATTAAAAAGTGTATATTTTAGTCTCCAGGAGTTAAGTAGCTTCTATTTTTTATTTTATCATTGATATCTAATTTCATTACATTATGATCTGATAGAATGCAAGGTGTTATGTCTATTTTTTATTTGCTAAGAATTGCTTTGTGACCTAAGATATGGTTTATGTTAGAGAAGATTCTGTGTGCTGCTGAGAAGAAGTATATTCAGTCATTGATGGATGAAATATTCTATAAATGTCTGGTACGTCTAAATTATTAATTATAGTTTTTAGTTCTACAGCTCCTTTAGTTTTTGTTTGGAAGATCTATCCAGTAGTGAGAGAGGTGTGTTTAAGTAACCCAGTATTATTGTATTGTGGCCTATTTGATTCTTGAAATTAAGAAGGATTTGTTTGATCTTTGTAAATGCTCCATTGTTTGAGGCATAAATTTTTATGATTGTTATGTCTTCTTGATGTATAATTCCATTAAGCAGTATGAAATGTTCTTCTTTGTCCCCTCTGATTAATTTTGGCTTGAGGTCCACTTTGTGATATGAGGCTAGAAACCCCTGCTTGTGTATGAGATGCCCGTGAAAAATATGCTTTTTCCCATCCTTTTTACCTTCAGTCTGTGGATGTCTTTGCCTATGAGGTGAGTCTCTTGGAGACACCCATATTGTTGGATCTGTTTTTTAATATAGTCTGCCAGTCTATTCTTTTTTTAAAAAAATATTTATTTATTTAGTTAGTTTTCAGCAGACACAACATCTTTGTTTGTATGTGGTGCTGAGGATTGAACCCAGGCTGCAAGCATGCCAGGCGAGCGCGCTACCGCTTGAGCCACATCCCCAGCCCAAGTCTATTCTTTTTGATTGATGAGTTTAGGCTATTTATATTCAAGGTTATTATTGAGAAATGATTTTATTTCCTATCATTTTGATTTATTGCTGGTCTTAATTTGAATTAGTTTCTTCTTTGATTGACTATTATTCTGTGTAGTTCCTCACTTTGCTGGTTTTCAATTTTATTTTTTATTGCTTCGTCATGAAATATTTTATTGAATATGTTCTGGAGTGCAGGCTTTCTATTGTGAATTCTTTTAACTTTTGTTTATCATGGAAGGAAGGTCTTTATTTCATTGTCAATTCGGAAGCTTAATTTTGCTGGGTAGAGTTTTTGTGGTTGGAATCCATTTTCTTTCAGAGGTTGGTATATATTATTCCAAAACCTCCTAGCTTTGAGGGTCTGGGTTAAGAAATCAGCTGAAATCCAGATTGGTTTCCCTCTAAATGTGAACTATCATTTTCCTCTGGCAGTCTTTAAAATTCTACCCTTCTTCTGTATGCTAGGCATTTTCATAATAATGTGCCTTGGTATGGGTCTGTTGTAATTTTGTATATCTGGAATCCTGTTAGCCTCCTGTATTTGATTTTACATTTCATTCTTAAGGTTTTGGAAATCTTTTGATATTATTTCTTTGAAAAAATTGTGCCTTCCTTTTGTATCTCTGCGCCTTCATCTAGTCTGATAAATCTTATATTTGGTATTTTCATGTTATCCCATGTTTCTTAGAAGTTCTATTCATGGTCTCTTTTTTTTTAAGAGTATCAAATTATTTTATTACAAAATTTAACACCATTTACTGGTCATCCACTTTTCTAAAAATCACAAACACAAGAAAAGAACAAATTCATCTAAGGTTCACCAGCCCTGGGAAGATAGGAAAAAGCCCTGAACAGGGAACCTGCAAATATTTTCCTTATGCCTGATGTCTTAGCATCCTACTTCACTCTAGGCTTCCACTTTTTGTCACCTCTGACAAGGGGAGGAAACTGGCTAGAAGAATCACTGACAAGAAGGTCACAACCAACTTGAAGGCTATGTGATACTAAGGGCTTGTACATTCTAGTTTGTAACTCTGAAAAATGATATCATATAAGCACTGTCAAAATACCTATTCCCGGGCTGGGATTGTGGCTCAGGTAGAGCGCTCACCTAGCACGGGCAAAGGCATTGTGTTGTGTCCATCTACACCTAAAATATAAATATTAAAAAAAACAGCAATGACTTTATTTATTTAAAAAAAAAAACTATTCCCCACTAACATTTACTGTCCTTATTCTCTGAATTACCTTTGGACTGGTTGTGTTATTTCATTTTAGCTTATGTTTATCCCAGAGCACAAACCCTAAAATCCATGTGCAGTCTCCATGTTCAAGTTTAGAATTGTTTCAGACAACCCCAGTGGCTCTATTGTTCATGCTCTATAGTATGTACTGGGTGTCATACCCTTGCACAAGCAGGTCAAGTGGCAGCCCAGTGCAGAGGGCACACAGGAACAACTTTCCCACTGCCAATCTTATTCCTGCTCTATCTGGACACTGCCCCACAGTTCAGGTAGATTTTTTTTATTTCAGTGGCCCCAACTGAATGAAGTCATATACTCATGGATCAGGAATCCAATTCTTCACCATTAATTAAATGGGGTTTTCAAACAGTGCCAGGAATATTCTTAGGAAATGTCCTGGGACTGGGCTGGTGGGTTCTTGATCTCTTGCTTGGGAGGGGACACTGGCACAGCTTATTTTTTTCTGGGCCACCAGGAACTCATGAATCATTTGAGCTGATATTAACCCTCTTTCAGAAAAGTAATCAGCAAAGATTTTATCCCATTCTATAGGTTCTCTCGTAACATTCTTAATTTTTTTTTTCTGCACAGAAGCTTTCTAATTTGATGCCAATCGCTTTATTAATTCTTACCATTTTTTCTTGAGCTTTAGAGGTCATATTGACAAAGTCATTGCTCATACCTATATGTTTTAGTGTTGTTGATCTTACGTTTCTTGTTTTTTTTTTTGCACTGGGGATTGAACCCAGGGGCACTTAACCACTGAGCCATACCCTGAGCCTTTAAAAAAATATTTTATTTAGAGACAGGATCTCATTAAATTGCTTAGGGACTCACTAAGTTGCTGAGGCAGGCTTTGAACTTGCCTCCTCCTGCCTCACTCAGCCTCCCAATCCTCTGGGACTATAGATATGTGCCACTGTGCCTGACTCTTACGTTTTCATCTACGAGTTGTATAGTTTCTAGGTCCTTGATCCATTTTGAGTTAACTTTTATTCAGGGTGAGAGATAAAGGTCTAGTTTTATTATAGACCCTTATCTCTTACCAGTTGTCCCAGAACAATTTGTTAAAAAGTCTGTCTTGAGCTGGGGTTGTGGCTCAGTGGTAGAGTTTTTGCCTAGCATGTGTGAGGCCCTGGGTTCAATTCTCAGCACCACATAAAAATAAATAAAATAAAGGTCCATTGACAACTAAATATAAAAAAAAAAAAATTCTGGGGCTGGGGATGTGGCTCAAGCGGTAGTGCGCTCGCCTGACATGCGTGTTGCCCGGGTTTGATCCTCAGCACCACATACAAAGATGTTATGTCCGCCAATAACTAAAAAATAAATATTAAAAATTCTCTCTCTCTCTCTCCTCTCTCTTTAAAAAAAATTGTCTTTTCTCCAATTTATGTTTTTGGCACCTTTGTCAAGGATCAGATGACTGTATCTGTGTGGGTTTGTTTCTTCTCTCTCTCTATTTTATATATATATATATATATAATTAGTTGTAGATGGACACACTAACTTTATTTTTATGTGGTACTGAGGATTGAACCCAGGGCCTCACACATACTAGGCAAGTGCTCTACCATTGAGCTATAACCCAGCCCCTGTGTGGGTTCATTTCTGTGTCTTCTATTCTATACTGTAGGTTGGTGCATCTGTTTTTATTGCCAGTACCTTGCACTTTTTGTTACTATAGCTCTGTAGTATAATTTAAAGTTAGGTTTTGTGATGCCTCCAGCATTGCTTTTTTGGCTTAGAATTACTTTGGCTATCCTGGGTGTTTTATTCTTCCAAATGAATTTTAGGACTGCTTTTCCTAGTATTCTTGATATTTTGATGGGCATTACATTAAATCTGTATATTACTTTTGGTAGTATGGCCATTTTGACAATATTAATTCTGCCCATTCACTTCTTTCATTTTGTTCAATTTCTTTCTTCAATATTCTGTAAGTTTTCATTGTAAAATTATTTCATCTCTTTGATTAGATTTATTCCCAGGTATTCTTTTTAAGCTAATGTGTAATTTTTGTAACACATTGATTTTTTTGAAGCCATTTATTCTTGGTATATCAGAAAGCTATTCATTTCTGTATGTTGATTTTGTAACCTGCTATTTTGCTGAATTTGTTTTTTTAGCTCTAGCAGTTCTTTGGTGGGGCTTTTTGGATCTTCTAAGTATAGAATCGTATCATCTGCAAACAGTGGTAATTTAACTTCTTCCTTTCTTATTTTTATTCCTTTTATTTTATTCTCTTAACTAATTGCTCTGGATAGAACTTCCAGTATTATATTAAATAGAAGTGGTAAAATTGGACATCCTTTTTTTGTTTCAGATTTTAAAGAAAATGTTTTCCATTTTTCCCCATTCATTATGATGTTGGCTTTGGGTTTTTCATAGATAGCCTCGATGGTGTTCAGGTAGTTTCCTTCTATCCCTAGTTTCTTCAATGTTTTTACATGAATGGGTGTTGAATTTTGTTGAAGGCTTTCTCTGAATCTTTGAGATAATTAAGTGATTTTTGACTTTGATTATATTTTTATGTGATGAATTACATTTATTGATTGTATATGTTAAACCATCCTTGCCCTCCTTGGTCTTTTTACTATGTTGTCAAATACAATTTTCTTAGATTCTATTAAGGATTTTTGCATCTAAGTCAGGGCAAAGAACATTAAAGTCCAGACTTACATGTTGTTTTTTCGTTTGCATTAAGGGCCTTGGTGAAGGTGATGAGAAGTCACCTGTTGACTGTCAGCATCTGGAGTATCTTCTTTCTCTCTTTCAGAGTAAAGGCCCTAAAGCTGTCATCAACATCAAGGACTTGAATGCCACTTTCCAGACAGAGAAGATAGGGCACCCGCACGGGCTGCAGATCACCTACAGGAGAGAGCGCCACATCAGGAACCTGTTTGTGTACCACGAGAGTGGGAAGGTGAGATGGCTGGAGTCCCACCCCAGCTGCGGGTCCAGCTCACCACCATCCTTGCTCATTGAACAATGTGTTCAGCTGCCTCTGAAGACTTATTGCTGCCTCTTGCCTTAATCTGTTTTCAGTTTCCAGTGTGACACAGAGGTCTGAAGAAGGCAGAGTGACATGTGGGAGAGGAACCTGGCAGATGCCATGGTCCTATACGAACAGTGCACAATCACCAGTGGGAGTCCAGTTAGCAGAAGGGACTATGCCTAAGAATGGTACATCCAGATAGGGCCTGAGTTTCTGAATACAGAAGGAGGAATGGCTAACTCAGGCTAGGGCCTTTCTGCTCAGCCACTGTCCTGGACCAACAGCATTGGCATCACTTGGGAACTTGTTAGAACCAGAGTCCCAAGTCCATCCCAGACCTACTGAATTAGAAACTTCCCTTCAACAGGATCCTTAGGTGATCCCAAAGCATGTGAAAGTTTGAGAAGTGTTACTTAATGGTCTGCAGATCAGCCCAGAGAAGAGAAGGCCAATAGTCCAGGTTTGAGAGAGTACACAGGGTCAGATCCTGACCACATGATGGGGGCAGGGAACAGAGATGCTAAGTAGTGGGTAGAGGGAAGTCGGGGTTTACATTTTGTGGGCATCTATTAACTCTGCTGTTCTATACAGTATTTTTTATAATATTTATTTTTTATTTGTAGTTGTCAATACTTTTATTTTTTTAAATTTTTAAAATTTATTTATTTTTTTAATAAGTGCCTTTTATTCATTTATTTTTTTAGAGAGAGAGAGAGAGAGAGAATTTTTATTTATTTATTTATTTTAGTTTTTGGCGGACACAACATCTTTGTTTGTATGTGGTGCTGAGGATCGAACCCAGGCCTCACGCATGCCAGGCGAGCACGCTACTGCTTGAGCCACATCCCCAGCCCCTTATTTTTTATTTTTTATGTGGTGCTGAGGATTGAACCCAGGGCCTCGCACATGCTAGGCAAGTACTCTACCGCTGAGCCACAATCCAAGCTCAGCATTTATATATCTACACACACACACACACACACACACATACATATAGTTGTCAATGGACCTTTATTTTTATTTTTTTTTTTATGTGGTGCTGAGAATCGAACCCAGTGCCTCACACATGCTAGGCAAGTGCTCTGCCACTGAGCTACACAGCCCCAGCCCCTGCATTTCTTAATCCTGTAAACAACCATGGAGGGCTAGGGTTGTGGCTCAGCGGTAGAGCACTGGGCTAGCATGTGCAAGGACCTGGGTTCAATCCTCAGCACGACATAAAAATAAATAAATAAAATAAAGGTATTGTCTCCATCTACAAAATAAAAAAATAAAATGTTTAAAAAACAACAACAACAACAACAACCATGGAAATGTCTTGTCCCCTTGCTCCCGAGGCATGAAAATTAGTATCATACAGCCAATGATTCTTGGGCCCTTTGCATCCATTTTACCACTCCACGTGCCTCTGTGGGTCACCCTGTCAGCAGCCTTCGCAGACTCCTTCGTCTACTCCACAGTCTACCTGGGTGCCTGGTGGCAGGGATTTGGAGTCAAAGTTAGAGCCCTGCTCTGCTGCTCTCGGCTATGTTGCTGGGGCAGGTCGCTTCCCTGTGCTTGTTTTTGGATTCTGGCACCCATCTCTCAGAGGGACTTTAAGAGCTGAATGACCATGAACCAGGGATGTGAAAGATTTCATCACCATTACGTGCATTACAAACATTACTTGTTACGGTTGATATTTGCTCATGACTGTAGCAGATGTCAAGGGCAAAGTCTTGTAGTCATTTATTCATTTACGAACTCACTCTTTTAACAAATTCTTCTTGAGCCCCTGCAGTGTGTGAAGGGTCTAGGGAGTGTCATCATGAATGGTGCAGAGTCATGGGCCTCAAGGATCTCACAGTCTAGGGAGGGAGGAGGACAGGGAAATAGGCACTGACCATGCCCTGTGATGGGTGGCCATGCTGGGGACACACAGAAGACGTGTGTTTTTAGTATGTGTGCAGGAGGGTCAAGAAGGCTTTCCAGAGGAAAGTTTCTATTTAAGAATTTGGGGGATTCTGCTAAAAAGGAGCATTCTACCATGGTGTAAAGGGCATGGTATAAAGAGCATGGCGGCCATGCCTGTAATCCCAGTAGCTCAGGAGGCTGGGGCAGGAGGATCATGAATTCAAAGCCAGCCTCGGCAACTTAGTGAGGCCCTAAGCAACTCAGTATCTAAATAAAATATAAAAAGGGCTGTGGATGGGGCTCAGTGGTTAAGCACCCTTGGATTCAATCCCCAGCATCACACACACACAGAAAAAGGAGCACAATCTGGTTTAAAGAAGCATGAACAGGAAGGGGACAGAAGTATTTGTTTTAAGGGCCAGAAGTACTGCTGGGCCTCCTGAGAGATTAAAATCAGGAACTAACACTCATCTCTCCTCTCTCCTCTCTCTCTCTCCCCCCTCCCTCCCTCCAGAGAGGCAGAAAGGAAGAGAAAATGAGAGGAGGAGAGAGAGAGAAAGGGAGGGACAAAGTATACTCTTTAACAGGCACAAGTTGTCCTTACATCATCAGGGATCAAATGGTACCACACTTGTTTTGTTTCCCTAAATTCAAGAGCCTCATTTCCAAGATTAGCAAGGAATGTAATCAGTCATCTCTCTTGTCCCAGGGCCACCAGTCCATTACTGGAGAGACCTTATAAAGTGGTAGCCTGAGCGAGTTTTTCTGGTCTGGCCCCATTCCCTTAGTGCCTGAGACCCTAGAAAGTTCTTAACAAACCCAGGGGCAAGAGGGCTTGGAACTTCAGAATACTATCCCCCTATCCTTGACCTAGGGGAGACAAGTGGAAATTGTTTCATTCCTTTGAAACCATATTTAAATGACTTTTTCGGTCACCGTATTACATCAAAGTCCAGTGCTGCAGCTATTTGGACAAGTCTTTCAGCCTCCCAGTTCCTGGGAGAAAGAATCTGGTAAATCCAGTCCAGCCTCTGTATCGGTCCAGTCCTGGTCCAGGTGCTATGGCCCAGGAAGGACAGGATTGGGAATGGAAATGGGGTGAGGGGCAGTTCTCAGAGAAACAGGTTGGCTAAGCAACCAGCCGAAAATTTATTACAACATCTAAACTGACCTGCAGGATGGTAGAATGTTCTAGTTAAAAGATGTGTGTGGGAGGGAGGTGGGTGAGGCCAAGTGCGCCAGGAGTAGGGGATAGCATGAGTTGGGGGTATTGAAAATGTTGAGTGGAAAGAGCTCAGAGGGCAGAGTGTGTCATGCTAAAGAACTTAGGGTAGTGGAGGCCTCCAGCCAACCTGGATGAATTAACCAGACAGTCACTGTCTGAATCTGAGCTCCTGAATCTGAGTCTACATTTGAACAAGATTCCAGATGATTGCAGCAGGCATTAGAAAGTGGAAAGCAATGTCCTGAGCCATTGTGTGTAACTCCCATGCAGCTCACCTGAGTCCTTTCCCATAGCTCTAGAGTCCCTCCTGTCAGTGGCTTCCCCCCGGGGGCTGTGGCCTAGTCCTCCCAGTTTGACCCTAGCTGGAACTGTGTGACATATATGTGTGCTGAATGCATAGGCCCCAAACCTGAGAACCCTAACCCTGCCACCAGACTCAGCCTCCCGTCCTCACCGGTCTGACTAGCTGTCTGTGTCCTTTGTATTTTGTCACAGGAGATAGTGGACTGGTTCAACGCCCTCCGCGCAGCCCGTCTGCAATACTTAAAAATGGCCTACCCCGAGCTTCCAGAGTCTGAGGTGAGCTACATGTAGACCCCAACTTCTAAGTCTCCCCCTGCCACCTCCTCTCCTCAACTACTGATCCCTGAGGCCAGACGAGGTTTATTGCAGGCAAGACCTTGAAAGGAGAGGGTTGGGCATCACAGAGGGAAGCTGAAGGCTTTTATTTTTCTGGGGAGGCCGGAGGATAATAGACTCTAAAAATCAGGTCAGTTTCTTCCCTTCAGGACACATGGCCACTATAGTGTCAAGAGGCTCAGCCTTTGGACAACTCTTTCTGACCCCTTCTCCCACTAAAATGAACAAATGGTCCCTACATACTGTTGAGCCCATTTTATCTCATAACCCTTTTAGGCAGGATGAGTATTCCCATTTTACAGATGAGAAATGGAGTCCCAGGAAGGTCAAGTGAGTAACGGAAGGTGCTCTTCTCACACTAACATCTGCCCTTTTCCCTATGGTGCTCTGGACTCAGGGAGGCCTTAGGATCTTCCCCACTGCACTTGTAACAGGAGAGGTCTGCCTACAGTGGCCAAGGTAATGGTGAGCCCGAGAACTTCATTTGGACTGTCCTCAGGCTTGGGTGGGGTAGCCCATGTGGCACAAGGCAGAGGATGCTGCCTTGAGCCAGGAGGCCTGCACCCTCATGGATGCTCTGTTCCTGATTTGCTATGTGACTCTTGCAAGTCATGGCACCTCTCTGAGCATCTGTTTTCATATTGGGTGGTTGTTGCAGACCCTCTTCATGGTCTCTTCCAGCCCTGAGGTGCTGTGGTCTGGTCCCTGTTTTAAGCTTTCCTCTAAGAGGCATTTTAAAGTGATAGAGGTAGAGAGATCCTGTTAATCCTGGACTTTCCTTCCTCCCAACTCTTTGACCCTCTTTGCTCCTCAGTTCCCAAGCTTGCAGGGAGCTAGATGTCTGGGTTAGGGTCCACTCTGGTGGCCCAATGATGCATTGAGACAGCAGCTCCCTGGGTACAGTTCCAGTAAGGCCTGACCTGGTTCTGAGAAGCCCTTGGAGGTTGGTGTGCTGAGTCAGCACGTGGAGCTGGCTCATGCTTGCTCCCTTGGGCGGGAGTTGGGAGTGCTGACTGTTTTGCCCAAGAGGAGGAGAGGACAAAGTGAAAGTGCTCAGCCTTCTTTCATTGGGGCTGGCTTCCCATCCTTGCTGACCCATGTGGAGGAAATTGGTCTTCAGCCAGTGTCCTCCACGTTCCCTTTTCTCTCTTGTTCATGATCATTACCCCTTATCCATCCCCAGTGTCCTCCCAACCCACCTCTCTCCTCTGTCTTTCTTCCCACCCTATGTCTATGTATGGTGTCAAATTCTGGGCAATCATCCAGACTTAGCTCAGGATTAAGGATCCAAATGCTGGAAACCCAGGGAGGCCCTGTGGAGTTGTGATCTTTTTATCAGAAATAGATACAGGATCTGGGTACAATGCTTATAATCCCAGCTACTTAGGAAACTGAAGCAGGAGGATCACAAGTTCAAAGCCAGTGGGACAATTGAGCAAGACCCTATTTCAGAAATTAAACAAACAGGGATGGGTTCAAGAATACAGTGCTCGGGCTGGGGATGTGGCTCAAGCAGTAGCGCGCTCGCCTGGCATGCGTGTGGCCCGGGTTCAATCCTCAGCACCACATACAAACAAAGATGTTGTGTCCGCTGAAAACTAAAAAATAAATATTTAAATTCTCTCTCTCTCTCTCTCTCTCTCTCTCTCTCTCTCTTTAAAAAAAAAAAATACAGTGCTTGCCTAGCATGAAACTCTGGGTTCAATCCCCAGTACTGCAAAAAGAAATCACAAAAACAAAAATGCGTACAGGGCTGGGGATGTAGCTCAGTGGTAGAGCACTTTCCTAGCATACTTAATTCCATCCCCAGCACCACAAAAAGAAAAAAAGAAAGAAAGGTACACACATTCTGATGTGTTATTTAGGGCAAGCCACCTCGCCTCTCTGAGCCTCAGTGTACTCATCTGTCACCACAGGGACAATGCTTACCTTCCAGGACTATTTTAAGAATCATTTGAGTCAAGTTATACAAGGTACAGTAAGGAATTCCCTTCTTGCCATTGTTTCCCTGAGCCTAGACTAGCCCTGGGTTGGCTCAAGTTCAGAATAGGGAGCAACTGGTGACCCTATTTTCTCCAAATGGAGAAATTAAAGCTTATAGGATGTATTTTAGGGAAAAGGGAGTAACATAGTTGAGGTTTTCATTTTGGGCCCCCAATTTCTCCCCTTTCATATTTCCCATTCTTCTTCCCCAGATCTCCCCTCCCCTTTGCCCCTGCCCTGGAGCCTGGGAGAACGTGCTCTGTTCTTGAAACAAGTCTGCTGCTTGAAACTTTTGACTTGCCCAGTTGACACCCCCTCCCCACCCCGTCCTCCCACAGCACAGGAGGCCAGTGTCAGTCCCTGGCAGCTTCTCTGAGCACAGGAAGGCAGGCTGGAGCTCACATGATCAAGTCTTGTCCATTGCACAGGAGGAAACTGGCCCAGAGAGACAGAAGGTCTCATTAAGGTAGCACAGCTGGTTGAGACCAGAGGTGAAGCGAGAATGCATATCCCTCCACTCCTACCCAGAGTTTTCCTTGTTTGCCCACTCTGCAGTCACCTACTTGTGACCCTATATCAGTTTCCCTGCCAATGGCCAGTCTCAGTCAAGGGGGCTCTGGCACGTATGCACCTTGGCACCACAGTGAGGTGGCAGGTGTATGGCCTTGTGCCTCCCAGTCCTGAGCATGCTACCAGCTACATAACTTGGAGAAGACCCACCACCACTTCATTTCAGCTGGGTTCCTTCAGATGCACAATGAGGCCGATAAGATCCACCTCACAGGGCGGCTGAGGATTGCACCCAGATCCTGACACACAGTAGACCCTAGGAAAATGTTCCCAAAAGACACCAAGAGGGTCTTCTCATGGCCTCACTTGAGTCCATTCTTGTGACTGAAGTTGTCCTTAAACCAAGTCCCTAAACTAAGACTCAGCCATGCTGGTGAGCTCAGCAAAAATCTGGGGTGCTGTCGACTGGCTTTGTTGAAATATTGATATTACATCCATTGCACATTCCAAATATAACCCCGTAAACCATGAGTTCACATCCTTCCCTATTCCAAACTTCCCCTTTCTCTGGGAGCCAAGTTCAGTGGGGAACCTTGAACTCTTGGGGTGTGAGGAGGGGGTCAGCCTCTGTCTCTCTTCCCCCAGCTCGTGCCCTTCCTCACCAGGAACTACCTCAAACAAGGCTTCATGGAAAAGACTGGTCCAAAGGTACATTCAACCATTCCTTGGGGGACTTACATGGATCTGTCCCAACTACCAATAGGCCAGAATTGGGGAGGTGGGGAAATGGGGAAAGAGGGTTGGAGAGGGAGGGAAAGAAAGTAAAGCCGTATTTGTGAGCTCCTGGGCTGAAGGAATGGGTGAAGGCTCCATGTCAGCTGATGTGTGATCCAGCTGACATGTGTTGCTCCAGGGCCTTCTCTCTCTCATGGGGGTATCCCAACCCCCATCATCATCACCATCAGCTTCTTTCCTCCAAACTCCCTCCATCCGTGGGAAAGCAGAGCCAAGAAGGGGATCCCTGGGGAGACAACTTTTGGGCTTCCCAGAATCCTCTGCTGGGAACCCACGGGGACCCTCCAAGGAGAGGCAGACGGGCCCAAGGAAACACATTCATGCCAGGGTGAGGCTGCATGTGCACTCACTCCCTCACACTCAGCCTGACTCCTTTGCTAAACCAGCCCCCACCCCCAGCAGCTGCTTATTCCCACTTATCTATGAAGGAAAGGAAGGGCTGCTACTGTGGGGAGGAACCTGGATATTGATGAAGCTTAAGGAAGCTTGGCTGGGCTGGGTAGATAGCTCAAGTGGTAGAGTGCCTGCCTCCCATGCCCAAGGCCCTGGGTTCAATCCCCAGCACCACACATAAACAAAGTCTGAGTGCAGGGGGTCCAGGTGGTTGGATGAGGGTTGAGGGGGAAGTCAAGGGAGAAGCAAGGCAAAGGTAGCTCCCAGAATAGGATGGATGTTAAAAAACGGTGCAAGGTGTCAGGGGTAGAGTGAGAAAAGTCTCAGGTGGGTTGGAAAAGGGGCCAAAGGTTTGCTTTAGGTTTCTTCCTTCTCTAGCTGGGCACCGCCCATCCCTATGGTTTTTACCCCAGGGTTTTCTCTCCCCTGACCTAGGTTAGGATTTGGTCAAGGCCAGCACTTTCAGCTTGGCTGAACAGTAGCCACTTCTGATTTCCCCGGCTTCCTTTTTCTGAGATTTCTTTGTCCACAGCTTGAGAAAGAGGGAAGCGGGCCTTCCCAGCTCTGGCAGCACCTGGAGGCAGCAGGGGTGAAGCTGGAAGGGGGTGGGGTGGGAGATGAGGGCTGGGAATGGGGTTGGGAACTTGCAGAGCCCCAGAGAGAAGTACTGGGCTTGTTCTTGGCTGGCCCTGACCTCTGTCCCCTGCTTTGTCATCCCTGGTAAGAGGTTCCCTCTTTTGCAGCAGAGAGAACCTTTCAAGAAAAGGTGGTTTGCCCTGGATCCCCAGGAGCGGAGGCTGCTGTATTACAAAAATCCGCTGGTAAGAGTCACTCCTGGTCCCTCCCCAGGACAGTCCCAAGGAGAGGTGGGTCAGCACTTGTCCAGCCTACACAAATAAACTCATCTCCTGGAGCCCCCAGGGTTGGGGAGCCCTGATCAGGAAAGCCTGTGCCCCCTCCCCTTCTAAGTTAGTTCCTGTTCCAGAAGCCCATTGAGAGCTTCCCAGATGCTGCCAGTTGTGATTAGATAAGGCATATTCCCCCTGCAGTCTCTGGGGCCTCGTTTCTAACCAGGAGGCTGAGATGAGGAGTGGTTAGGAGTGGGGTCTCTCGAACCTGGTTGTCTGGACTCCGGTCTCAGCCATGCCATTGTGGTGGCATGCCCTGGGTAGTGTACACACTTATCTCTCTGTGCCTCAGTTTCCTTCTATGAAAAATAGACTTAATATGTATGCCTTGCTCAGCGGGTCCCATGATGATCATGACTTCCTACATGTAAAGCGCTTGTATTCCTGGTGCCCAGTGATCTCTCCATACATGTTAAGTGTCTTCTCAACAGATGATTATGTGATTTGCTTCAGGGTTTTAACCTTTCAAATTCAAGTCGTTCCCCCACCCACGCGGTGGCATACCCCTGTAATCCCAGCGGCTCCCGAGGCTGAGGCAGGAGGATCCTGAGTTCAAAGCCAGCCTCAGCAAAAGCGAGGCACCAAGCAACTCAGTGAGACCCTAAGTAAAACACAAAATAGGGCTGGGGAGGTGGCTCAGTGGTTAAGTGCCCCGGAGTTCAATTCCCAGTATCCACCCATCCACCCCCCAAAAAATCAAGTTCCCCTGCAGCATAAATCCTGGCAAGGACACTCACTTACTCCCCTTTACCAAAATAGATCTTGAGGGCTGTCAGTGCTTCAGGGGTCCCTCTGCCCCAGCGTGACCTCTGATGACCAGGTGCCTTTGATTTTCAGGATGCCTTTGAGCAGGGCCAGGTTTTTATCGGGAGCAAGGAGCAGGGGTACGAGGTCTCTGAAGACCTGCCCAAGGGCATCCGAGGGAATCGCTGGAAAGCCGGCATCACCATCGTTACCCCGGAGCGCAGATTCATCCTCACCTGTGCCACTGAGAAGGAGCAACGGGAATGGCTGGAGAGTTTGCGGGATGTCCTGTGCCGCCCCTTGACACCCCTCCACGTACCCAGTGAGAAGCAGGGACTGGGGGTTGTTTTTTTGACAGAGGGTAGGAAGGGGTTTCTTCACTGGGACTCGACTGTGTTGCCAGAAGAGCCCTGACTCTGCGCTTTCTGTGGCCTTCTCTTCCTGCCAAAGAAAACACACAATTGTCGCCAGGAAATCCCCTCTGTGCCCCAAGTTCCTCTAACAGAGTCCTTCTCCATGAGCTTCAAAAGGAGTTTGGAGCCGGGGCGGTATTGCCCGCCTGTAATCCCAGTGACTCAGGAGGCTGAAGCAGGAGGATCTCAAGTTCAAAGCCAGCTTCAGCAAAAAGCAGGGCACTAAGCAACTCAGTGAGACCCTGTCTAAAAAAAAAAAAGACTGGGGATGTGGTTCAGTAGTCGAGTGCCCTGAGTTCAATCCCTGGAACAACAACAACAAAATGGTAGTTTGGTGCCAGCAGAACCCTTGAGGCTATCTCTGCCCAGCTCATCATCTAGGTGCTGGACAACCTCTCCTTGTTCCTGGTCCCTGATCCCTTTTCTCATGAGAAAACTGTGTCCTCCTATTATTAGCTGAGGTCACCCTGCTGGGCAGCTCCTGGGACTTTGGATTCTGCCCCATTCCAGAGGGAAGGCTATTTTTAGTGTCCTTCTTTCCCCTGGGTCCTTCCCTCTGTCTGTCTTTCTAAGGCTCCTCCTCTTCACCCCAGATGTGTCCCTGCACGGCTGCCCTGTCTGCTGACAGCCCTGCAGAAAGGGAGAGATGTGCTGAGCTGGAGCAGGAAACTTCTGACCCAGGGCTTGACTTCTGGGGCACAAGGGAGAAGTTCTGTGTTTGGAAAAGTACAGACTGAGCAGGTGACCTCACACAGACCCTTGGGGAAACTCCTGTGCCCTCTGAGCCTGACCAGTGCAAACACAAACTCTCTCTTCTTCGTTGTCCCAGTTCCCAAAGCCAAAGAGCCTCAGAAGCAGATGTGGGAGGCGTTGGGTGGGTCAGTTGGAGCTTCCTTTTCTCTAGGTGCATGTGTGTTGGAGTCTTTCGGTTTCTCTCTCCATCTCCATCTCTGTGCTTATCGCTCCCTCTCTAGTGTGTAGGTCCTCTGTGTCTCCCACTCTTTTGGTTTGTCTTCTTTTAAAAAAAAATGTTCTTTTTTGCTTTTCTTCCTTCCTATCTTTTTCATTCTGTTTTTTATTCTGGCTCCCTCTGGTAGCATGACCACCTCCCTCACACTCCTGTTTCCCTTGCAGCTGCAGTAACAGAGAGTGGCTGTAGCAGCAGGTGACCCATCGGCTGGGGAGCTGGCTGGCCACCAGCCACCTACTGGAGCTCCTGGCATAAAGGAGGAGTTCTTATCTCTGATCCAGTTGCCCAGCACGAGTGCCGCACAGCCAGCAGCCAGCTTGGCAGAACTCACTGCTGACACTGAAGCTGTGATGGATCTTCCTGCTCCTTGGCCCTTCCCTACTGCCCAGCCTCCAGATCAGAGGACGTGGTACACAGTGAACACATATGTCACCCTGTCTTACAAACCAAGACTTGAAATGTCCTGAAGGCCCAGAACCTGCTCATCTGAAATGGAGGCATTGTAATGAAAAAGCACCCACAGCATCCTGCAAGTGGTGTTTTGAAAAAAAAAAAAAATTAATCTGAATGTAATCATGAGGAAATAATCAGGCAGATTCACATTAGGTATGCTCTGCTGAACAGCCAGCTGGGACTCTTCAAAAAGGTCCATGTGATGAAAGGTAAAATAGTTTGGGAACTGTTGTAGGTCTGGCAACCAGAAACCAGATGCAATGTATGATTCTTGAGTAGGTCCTGGATTTTAAAAAAATAGCTGTAAAGCACATAATTAAGATAATTGAAGAAATTTGAATATGGATTTATACTAGCTAATAGGATTGTAAGATTATGGTATTCATGCTGTAATGGTATAGGAAAATATTCCTGTCCTTAGGAGTTACGTGCTGAAGTGAAATGTAATGATGTCTATGACTAATTCCTAAAAGATTCAGCAAAAACAAGTGTATGTATAAGTATATGAATACAGTGTGTGTATGTATATATATATATATATATATATATATATATATATATATACACATATATACATATATATATAGAGAGAGAGAAAGAGAAATACAGATATACATATATATATAAAGAGAACAGTACTGTATAAATGTTATCAACTGATGAATCTAGATAAAGTGTAGATGGGGTTATTTTCCTATTAATACAAATATATAGGTTTGAAAGTTTTTATATTAAAACATTGGAGGAAAAAAAACCCGACTACTTTTCACTCTTCAAAAGCATGTTTTTCTCTATGAATCCAAATGTTCCTGGAGCCATTTGGCACAATGTCACATGCCTGTAGTCCCAACTACTCATGAGGCTGAGGCAGCAGGATGGCAAGTTTGAGGCCAGCCTTGGACAGTTAACAAGACCCTGTCTCAAAATAAAAAATAAAGAGAGCTGGGGGTATAGCTCAGGGATAGAACTTTAGCCCAGCATGTGTGACACCCTGGTTTCAATCCCCAGTAGGCCAACTAACAAAAATAAAAGTAGCCAGAGCAATGTTACCCACCTGTAGTTCTAAGTACTTTCAAGACTGAGGTAGGAGAATGCCTGAGTCGGAGAGTTTGAGGCCAGCCTGGGGAACATAGTGAACCCCCCGCCCCAAGAGATCAGGCTGGGGCTGGAGCTCAGTAGCAGAGGACTAGCCTCGCATGTGTGAGGTACTGGGTTTGATCCTTAGCACCACATTAAAATAAAAGCATACTGCCCATCTACAATTATAAAAAAAAAATAGATAAATAAGAAGGGGGCGGGGAATCAATGTTCCTGGTAGAGTTCCATCTTTGTGCACATTTGAAAGAAACAGAAGCTCAGATAATATCAAAACAATGCCTGCATTGATTGTCATAGTGCTCTGGAAGGGAAAAAAAAAAAAAAAACAGAGGAGACACCGCTCCCCTGGACCACAAAATGGAGAGCTATCCAGGGTTGTCAGGTCCTGCCACTAACTTGAGACCACTAGCAAATTCACTTCCCCAACTCTATGCCTTGGTTTTTCTCTCTGAAATGAGGAAGTTGCACTCGTTATTGAAATCCAGTGTAAGTCACATGTATTTTTGCCCACCTCACGGATGCCAGGCTCTCTGCCTCACCCCATGAATAGGCAGGAATAAAACGATGTGCTCCCTGCTGTGGCAGATGACAGCCTTCAGGGGGCGGCAGCCACTAACCAGGGAATGGCAGGGAGTAGGGTGTTCAGAAAGGGGAAGGAGAGCAGCCTGCGGTGGCAGGGTGGGGCAACCAGGCTTGTCCTAACTGAGGAGGAGAGGGCAGCCGCCTCCCTTTCCAGAAAGTGACACTGAAGTTGAAACTTCCCGGCTGTGTAAAGATTAGTCAGGGGGAAGAGGGTGAGGAAAACACTTTAAGCTGAGGGAAGAAAATGGTCAAAGGTCCCCAAGATGTGAAAGAGAAACTGACAGGAATCTCAAATGGCTGAAATGTTAGAGAAACAGATGGACAAGTTTCCAGTTCTGTGATTTTTTTTTTTCTTTTAAATCCTTTCCTCTCTTTTCAATGGATGTGCAGAAATACACGAGGTATTTTTTCTTCAAAGGAGACCCAGAGGGTTGAGAGGGTCTTTAAGAGATTCTCTACAGTTAATGGGACTTTTCTTTGGATCCCCGGAGGACAAGCAACACATTGGGGTGTCTCTTTCCTGAAGCTTTGTGACTACCTGGATAGGGAGGTGGGTCCTCTCTGCATCACCTGTCACACCTTGGAAATGTCTGTTTCAACTCCTGCTGGGCTGTGTGGTAGGGGCCAGTTCACTTGTCTCCCTTTACCACCACCTATGAACTGTGTTGGGCACCCTACTAAGATCTGGAGATGAGGACATCAATGAAAGGTGCAATCTTGCCCTCAAGGGAAACCAGAGGGGAAGGAAGAAAAGTCAGCAGACAGCAACAACCCTGCTCCACTATTCTGGGAGGGAAGCCAGGCTTCTGAGTGTGGGAGAGGGGCCCAAGGACAGGCACAAGAGGTCAAACCCCAGTGACCTAGTTGGGTCTCTATCTTTGGGTTCCCTGACGATACCTTTGTACTCTTGCCTTAAATCCCCCTTTTTCCGTCTTGACTTGTTAGTGCAAGGAAGTTTCAATTGTTTGAATCAATCCCAACTGAAAATTCTCCCAAAGAGGTGATATCTATGCTGAATCCTAAAGAATGAGTAGAAGATCCTTGGGTTAGGGTGGGGGAAACAGAGAAAGATGCATGTACAAAAAGGCCCCAAGACAAGAGAGGCCTGTTCTGGAAATTTCAAATAATTAAGTATGTCTACAGAACCAGATTGTTGGGGTGAGGAGGAGTAAGAAAAGATGAAATTGTAGGAGGGTTTGCTTTCAATAATGTTGGAGCAACTCATATCACAACAATCATCCGACAGATATCAATTATAGGCGCTGGACAGACTATATCAAAACAAATGCCTGAAAGCACTGGGAAATGACCCAAAGCAGGCAGGAACCAGAAAGGAGTTGGCACTAAAAAGCAGGGAATGGCACGGATAAATGTCTCATCTTTTTCAGTTTTCATCAGAGGACAGGCCCAGGTTAGTGCCTCAGGGAGTTACCCAAACTCTGATGGAAACATACAGTCTTCCTTCCTGAAAAACAGAGAACAGTGAAGTAAACACAGCAATTGGAAAGTGAAAGGAGAAAATCTGGGAGAGCCACAGAGGAGGAGCCCTGAGTTTTCCATATAAACTGCCCGATCTCTGGAGAAATGTAGCAGAATCCAAAAGGTCTATAAAGTATCTTTCTCAATATCAGGATATAATGCCAAATTACTAGATAACTGTGTGCTAATCAGTTTTGTTACCATAACAAAATACCTGAGTTAAACAGCTTACAAAGAGAAATGGTTTATTTTATCAGAGTTTTTATCACAGTTTTGGAGACTCCAGTCTATGATCAGTTGGCCCTGTTGCTTTGGGCCAGTGATGAGAAGGGGCTGGGGTCCCATAGTCCTCTTTGGAGGCATGTACCCAGTGACCTAAGGACTTCCCACAAGTCCTCACCTTGCAAAAGCCCCACCACCTCCCATGAGTGCCACTCTGGAAACCAAGCCTTTAAAACATGGGCCTTGGGGGGACTTTCAACATGCAAATTATAGACATATGTACTGAAATGAATGTATGAATATGAAACCAGAAAATGTGAATGATATTTGTATTCTCCAGAGAAACAGAAACAGTAGGAAATACATAGATATATAGAAAGAGATTTATTATGAGAGGCTTGATTATGGATTATGGAGGCTGAAAAGTTCCGTGATCTCTATCTGCAAACAGAGGCCCAGGAAAATCAGTAGTGAAGTTCTAGTCCAAAAGTGCCAATGTCTGAGGACAGGAGAAGGATGGCCCAGCACAAGCAGAGAGTAGAATTTACCTTTTGTTCACCTTATTGTTTATTTAGGTCCTCAACAGATTGGAGGATGCCTACACATGTTGGTAGGGCAATCTTCTTTACTCAGTCTACTGATTAAAATGAGAACTTCTTAGTTGGGTGCAGGTGACACACGCCTATAATCCCAGAGGCTTGGGAGGCCAAGGTAGGAGGATTACAAAATTTCAAGCCTCACTTGTTGCAATTTAGAGGGACCCTGTCTCAAAATAAAAAATAAAGGGTTGAGGATGTGGCTCAGTGGGAGAGCACCCCTGGGTTCAATCCCCAGTATTAAAAACAAACCCCCAAAAAATGTAAAAAATAGTTTTAAAAGAAATATAAAAGATTGCCTATTTAAAGCAAAAATTACAAATGTTTTGCTTTGTAGCATCTATAGAGATAACATATATAACAACTGGAGCTTAAAGACTGGGCCAACTGATCATGGACTGGAATCTGCAAAACTGTGATAAAAACTCTGATAAAAAAAATATAAACATTTTTCTCTTTGTAAGCTGATTATCTCAGGTATTTTGTTATGGTGATGAAACTGATTAGCACACATTTGTATAGTAAATTTTACAATAAGTGGCATACAAAATCAACTCTAAATTGACTGTGAAAAGTCAATGATGTATATTATAATTTTTTTCTTTCTTTTTCAAAAGAAAAGAATTATAGGGTTGGGGTTGTGGCTCAGTGGTAGCGTGCTTGCCTGGCATGTATGAGGCACTGGGTTCGATTCTCAGCACCACATATAAACAAATAAATGAATAAAGGCCCATCAATAAGTAATAAAAAAATCTTTAAAAAAAGAAAAGAATTATAATATACATCTCTCCACCCACCCACTCCAGGCTGGTCTCCAGGTCCCCGACTCAGACAATTCTCCTACCTAATCAGGTCCTGGGGATTGAACCTAGGACCTCTTGCATGCTAGGTCAGCACCCTGCCTCAGCCCTTTTTGTTTTTTATTTTGAGACAATCTCCCTAAATTGCTGAGGCTGACCTCAAACTTGAGATCTTTCTGCCTCAGGCTCCTGAGTACCTGGGATTACAGGTGTATGTTCCCACACCCTTTCCATTCTCATCCCTACCCCTTTTAAAATTGTGTGGTTTGTTTTCTTATTGTTAAATTCTTCATATACTCTGAATACCAGTCCTTTGATAGACAAATTGGCAAATATTTTCCCCCAGTCTGTGGTTTTTCACTTCCTGTCTCGCTCTCTCTCTCTCTCTCTTTTTTTTTTTTTTGCTACTGGGATCAAACCCAGAGCTTTGTGTATACTAGGCAAATTTGCTCTCAGCCCAAATTTTTCAGTTCCTTGACTGGGTTAATGGAATCTTCTTTCATCAAGACACTGAGGTCACAGTTCATTACTTTCTTTGTTTTATGAAGATCTTTGTACAGCATTAAAAATAGGGTATTTGTTGGGTGCATGGTGCAAACCGGTAGTCCCGGGAGGCTGAGGCAGGAGGATCATGAGTTCAAAGCCAGCCTCAGGAATTTAGGGAGGCCAAGCAACTCAGTGAGACCCTGTCTGTAAATAAAATACAAAAAGGGTTGGGGATGTGGTTCAGTGGCTAAGTGCTCCTGAGTTCAAAAGGGTATTTTGGCTTGTGTTTGGATGTTTGTATTCATTTATTATAAGTGGAGTGGGAATAAGGACTATGACAATGTATAACATGCTTAATAAACTCTCCCTTCCCTTGACCACAAAACAAAAACAAACACACAAACAAAAACTTTGTCTCCAAAAACATCTACCAAAGCAAACTCTGGTAGACCACATTGGTGACAGTTATACCTTTTTTTACCCAGCACACAAACTCAAGGACCTTGTTACTTCTTACTCACTTGGCATTGGAACAAAGTATTGCCTGGCATGGTGGCTCAAACTCTCAGGAGGCTGAGGCTGGAGGACTGTTTGAGTTCAGGAGTTAGAGACCAGCCTGGGCAACATACTGAGAACTTCTCTCAAAAATAGAGTATACAGGGGCTTAGGTTGTGGCTCAGTGGTAGAGCGCTTGCCTGGCATGTGTGTGTCAGGAGCTGCCATGTGGGAATCGAGCGCCCCCTAGCTTTGAGTGATGAGAGTGTGGAGTTGTGGCAAGTCAGCCATGGGCTGTGTGTGTGAACTATGAGCGCTAAGCACACAGGGGGGACTGAACGGATGTTGCTCCTCTGTTTGGGCGGGCAATATTAGCATCTTTTCCTTCTCTCTATGATCCCCACACAGGGCAAGATGGGCGTGGGCTTCCTAGATGTCAGTCAACCTGCTGACAGCAAAACTTCACAAAGCTAGACTCAACCCCCTGAAACCTTGCCTCATTTGAATGGCTTCTCCCCAATAAAAGGGTTCAGCACTCATGCTCCTTGCTCTCTTTCTTGCTTGCCTTGCCCCCCCATGGGTGCTGCTGCTGAAGAACCATCAACGAACCCCCAAAAATGTACTTTCTGTGTCTGTGTATTCATTTATTTCCCAAATTCACTTGGAGTGACCCTGACTGGTTTAGTCGTGGGACAAAACATGTGAGGCACTGGATTTGATTCTAAGCACAGCATATAAATAAATCAAATAAAGGTCCACCAACAACTAATAAAAATATTTTAAAAAATAAAGTATACAATTCAATTGTCTTGAAAAAACCACCACCACCACCACCACCAACAACAAACAGTGTCATAGAAATGTGTGTTGAGCTGGGGATGTGGCTCAAGCGGTAGCGCGCTCGCCTGGCATGCGTGGGCCCAGGTTCGATCCTCAGCACCACATACAAACAAAGATGTTGTGTCTGCCGAAAACTAAAAAATAAATATTAAAATTCTCTCTCTCTCTCTCTTTAAAAAAAAAAGAAATGTGTGTTGACAAATTTGTTTGAACTGACAGCAAATGAGTCTGATTTAACTGACTGGTTTTACAGTAAGGACTAGCTTTGCCAGTTGGATTATGTGGCATATATTCTACATAAATCCATTGAGTTCATTCTACAGGTCCAATCTTTTGAAGAATATTTCAGGTATATAAGATAAAAGTACCCCCCCCCCAAAAAAAAAGAAAGAAAAAGAAAAAAGAAAAAAGGAAGAAAGAAAGAAAAAAGGTTATTAGATCAACAAAGACACATTGAAAAGTATTCTAATTTTTCTAGCCCTTTCTGAATACATCAGGGTGTTTCTAAGTCAAAGTGTAATTGATTGTAATTGCCAGTCACTTGACAAACCTAAGCAGAGTCTTTTTGGCCTACATCCCAGAAAATAAGAAAGTGAATATACTTCCAATGACTTGGATAACACAGATGATTTCAAATGTCTGTTTTCGACAAAAATAAAGAGAAAAAAAATCGAATCAAGTTTCCAGCTGAGAAATTATTTTAAAAACTTCTGGATTTGCTCCCCAATGGGGCAAGAAAACAAAAACAGCAAAACCAACCCAAGAAAAAACCGAACAAATAAAATCAGGATTTTTTTTTTTCTATGATGGATCCCTATAAGATTTGGGGTGCTTGTTGGGTAACGGGCTTTCAGCCCGCAAAGGGCATCAAGGAGACTGGAACAATTCTACATTATTGTAGAGATTTTAAAAGTTTGGAGATCAGTTACTCGATCTTGACTGCGTGGTAGAATCACTTGAGGGAGGTTTTATAAAACATCCAAGCCGGGACCCCACTCCAGACAAGTGAAATCACACTGTCTGGGAGAGATGCCCCAACATCGGTATTTTAAAAAGTGTCCCAGTAGATGTGCAACGGTGTTCTTTAATCCCTTCCCACTTTTTTTTTTTTTTAACCAGGGATTGCACTCAGGGGCACTCGACCACACCCCCACCCCACCCCTATTTTGTATTTTATTTAGCGACAGGGTCTAAGTTGCTTAACACCTCGCTATTGCTGAGAGGCTGGCTTTGAACTGGCGATCCTCCTGCCTCAGCCTCCAGAGCCGCTGGGATTAGGATGTGCGCCACTGCACTCGGCTCCTTACCACTTTATAGCGGGCTGGATAACACCTAGTGGGCGCATCCCCATTAATGAGTTCCTGAATCGAACCCTCTTTCTCATTCTCCCAAACGATGTGGGGTTGCATCTTAATGAGGGAGACCGGGAGCAAGCTAAAGGGACTCTCTGGAACATCGGCACTTTCCTAGCGGCTTGGGGCAAATTGATTTCCCAGGCAAGTGGCCGCCACCGAAGGCCAGCTCTGCCCACAGGGCGCCGCGTGCTGGACGGCAGCGGGTCGGTCCTCTGTCCTCTGAGCGGAAGAAAGCAAGCATCGAGGGACCGCGGCGGGGAGGGGAAGAGGCTGTGGGGAGGAGGAGGAGCCAGTGGGGACGTGGGCGCTCGCTTCCGAGTACAGACGCCTGGGTCACCATGGCTGGCCCCGGCTCCAGTTCGGCGATCCCCGTGTGGCTGACGGAGGAGGACCTGAACTGCATCATCTGCCAAGGGCTGCTGACCTCGCCCGCCACGCTGCAGTGCGGCCACAGCTTCTGCTGCGAGTGCTTGAGGAGAGCGTGGGGCGCGCGGGGCACCGGGGTCGCCAGCCACCCCTGGGCCTGCCCCACCTGCCTCGAGGGCGCGGCGCTGCCGCCGAAGCTGCGAAAGAACACGCTACTGCAGTACCTGGCGGACAAGTTCAGCCGGGCGCAGAACGAGCTGGAGGTCGGCCCGGAGCGGGTCCCGAGCCCGGTCCAAGGGCCCGAGCACCGCCCGGCACAGCCGCGGGTAGGGAGCCTCGCCCGCTCGCCCCCTGTCTCCTGCAGGCTGCCCGCGCCGCCCGCCCTCTCCCCCTACCCTCTCCTCCTGCCACTCAGCTGCCCCTCTGACCCCTGTCTTCAGGTCTTTTGGTGTATACGCAGGAACAGAATTGTTGGATCGCATGGTAATTCCGTATTTAACCGACTGAGGAACAGCCAAACTGTTTTCCAGGGTGGATGCGCCCTGTTCTGTTCCCACCAACAATGAATGTTCCAATTTTTCTACATCCCTGTCAACACTTGCTATTTTCTGGATTTTTTTTTTTTTTAAGTACAGCCTTACAGCTCTATAGAGGTGTCAAGTGGTATTTCGCGGTTTTGATTTGCATTTCCCCCCAGCACCGATGAGGCTGAGCATCTTCCCGTGCGTATTGGCCCTTTGCGGATCTTCTTTGGAGTTACATCCTTCGCCGTATTTAAATTGAGTGTCCTTTTGGTTGTTGTTGTTTTTGAGTTTTAGGAATTCTCTATATATTCCGAGTATGAATCCCTTATCAGACTCATGATTTGCAATTATTTTCTCCCATTCTCTGGGTTTCCTTCTATTCGTGTCTTTTGAGGTACATTTTAAAAAAATGTTTATTTTTTAGTTGTAGTTGGACACAATACCTTTATTTTACTTATTCATTTTTATGTGGTGCTGAGTATCGCTCGCAGGGCCTCACACATGCTAGGCAAGCGCTCTACCGCTGAGCCGCAACCTCAACCCAAGGTATATTTTTAAAATAATTTCTTATGTCGAACCTATATTTTTTCTTTTGTTGCCTATACCTTTGGTGTTATATTCAAGAAATGATTGCCAAATCCAATGTTATGAAGCCTTTGTCCTGTTTTCTTTTTAAAATTGTATTGTTTTAGGCCTTATATTTAGGTCTTCGACAGATTTTGAGGGGTGTGTGTGTATGTGTGTTGGAGTATAGAATCCAGAGCCTCACACATGCTAAGCATGCACTTTACCACTGAGCACACTGAGCAACACCCTCAGCTTTTTGAGTTGATTTTTGCATATGGATATCTGGTTTCCCCAGTACCGTTTGTTGAAGACTCCTTTTCCCCATTGAATAGTCTTGACACTCTTTGTCAAAAATCATCTGAGGGGCTGGGGTTGTGTCTCAGGGGTAGACCACTTGCCTCCCAGGTATGAGGCACTGGGTTCAATCCTCAACACCACATAAAAGTAAATAAATAAAGGTATTGTGTTCCTCTATAACTAAAAAAAAAATTAAAAAAAAATCATTTGAGGTATAGCCCTTCCTTAACATTTATGAGGCCCTGGGTTCAACCCCCCAGTACGGCAAATAAATAAGTAAATAAATAAAATAATACTAATTTGACCGTATATATGAGCACTTATTTCTTGGCTCTCCATTCTATTCCATTGGTCTATATAAAGACACAGAGTTTATGGTTCACTTTATTTAGTGCTGGTTCCCAGGTCCCGTTTTATAGGACCTCCCAAGCCCAGCTTTGCTCTTTTAAAGGCGACAGTACCGGAAAACATCACAGAAGTCGTCCAGAAGCTGACGGACCTGGTGGGACAGCTGGTGGACATTGTCAAGAGACTCCAGAGGCAGACACCTCTCTCAGAATCTGGACAAGACAACGAAGTAAACATTGTGAGCACAGTAGGCTCAGCTGGGTGAGAAAAAGTTGAGAAACAGGGTAGGGCTAGGGATGGCTTCCAAAGAGCAATATGAATATGTTTGAGGACTCAAGATCCAATAAGTCTCAACTGTATGGGGAAGGGGGGGAAGGGTACTGGGAATGGAACCCAGGGCCTGACACATGCTAGGCAAATGCTCTACCACTGAGCCACACCCTTAATCTCAACCAAACATGAATGACTCGAAGTTTGGCATGCTGGATATGAGTTACAGAAGCTCCAAGTGGGCTAGGATTTGTCTTTACCACTCCACCAACTCTCTCTAAAATCACAGTGGCCTCTAGGTCAGGTCTATAGACATTCTGGTTCTTATCTTCATTTGACCTTTCAGCAGCCTTGATATAGTTGATGACATCATCTGCCTTGACACTCTTAACACTTTTTCATTTTATTTTTCTCTTGCTTTAACTTCTTAGCTTTTGGGACACAAATTTTCTGGTTTTTTCCTCCATCACATTCTGGTGGGTTCCTTTCAGTGTGATTTGTAGGCTCTCTCTCTCTCTCTCTCTCTCTCTCTATCTCTGAGCAATTAAATGCTAGAATTCTTCAAGGCTGAATTGTAGATCCCTTTCTAACCACCCTCTTCCCCCCAAAAAAAGTGATCCCCCCAACACCCATGGTTTTTTGTTTGGTACTAAGGGTTGAGCCCAGACATGTTTTACCACTGAGCTACATCCCCAGTCCTATTTTTTTTTATTTTGAGATAGACTCTTACTAAATTGTTAAGGGTCTTGCTAAGTTGCTAAGGCTGGCCTTGAACTTGTGATCCTCTTTCCTTAGTCTCCCAAGTTACAGGAGGATCACAAGTTGCAGGAGGATTGCAAGTTTGAGGCCAACCTCAGCAACTGAGTGAAACCCTGTCTCAAATAAAAAATAAATAGGACTGGGGATGTAACTCAGGAGTAAAGTGCCCCTAGGTTCAATTCCTAGTACAAAAGAAAAAAGGGCTTGAACAATGTGAACATGTAGGATGATATTCACCATGGCAATTTAGTTAATCTCCATGAACTTCAACTTCTTTTGTAAAATCGGGAAAATAAACCTGCCTTGTGAGGTTGTTATACAAATTCCATACTTAGGCTGGGCCAGCCTGAGTAACATAGTGAGATCTCGTCTCAATACCTAGCATGTGGAAAGTACTCAATAAGTATAATACATTATGATTGGTGAAAAGATTGGAGGATAGATTTTTCAGTTATCAAAGAAAACTGAGTAGATGAGGGGCTGTCTTGGGGAATAAATAGCAGGACCTGAGGTTAAAGAAAAATCAGGAAGCATGTGTTACAGGTCCCAGAGAGCAGAGCTAGATGTGGCCACATGCTTACATTGGCTTTTTTTTTTTTTTTTTTTTTAATCATTATTTTTTTAGTTGTAGTTGGACACAATACCTTCATCTTAATGTGGTGCTGAGGATTGAACCCAGGGCCTCCCCCATCCTAGGCAAGCGCTATACCGCTGAGCCACAACCCCAGCACCCTTACATTGGCTTTTGATAGAGTTGGGAGATTATCTGACCTTTATGGCTTATCTCAGTGAAGTTGTATAATTTATTTTGTAAGGTCCATAAGATGGGCGTAAACTTTTTAATTTGTGTATTACCTAAGAAAGTCTTGTTTATTGAAAAAAAAAGTCAGAAAGTATGTAGCATTTAAAGAAAACACATTAAGCTGGAAGTGTAGCTCAGTGGTAAGGCATATGCTTAGTATGCATGAAGCTCTCAGTTCAATTCTAACATCACAAAAAGCAAACAAACAAAAGACAAATTAAATTCCTCCATAACACCATCACTCAGAAATAAGCACTTTTGAGCCTGGCATTGTGATGCAAGTTGGTAATTACAGCAATTGGGAGGATGAGGCAGGAGGATCATTTGAGCTCAGGAGTATAAGACCAGCCTAAAGGGCTGGGATTGTGGCTCAGAGGTAAAGAACTTGCCTAGCATGTGTGAGGAACTGGGTTTGATCCCCAGCACCACATTAAAAAAAAAACAAAATATTGTGTCCATCTACAACTAAAAATATATACACTTAAAAAAGACCAGCCTGAAGGCAGTGGAGCACAACAGACACTAGTATGGCAATTTGTAAATCAATGGATGTGTAACTGATGTGATTCTGCAATCTGTGTATGGGGTGAAGGTGGGAGTTCATAACCCACTTGAATCAAAGTGTGGAATATGATATGTCAAGAAATTTGTAATGTTTTGAACAACCCACAATAAAAAATTAAAAAAAAAAAAAGTGTTCTTCCTACCTCAGCCTTGAAGTAGCTAGGATAGGTACTGCTGTGTCCCGCTAGGAAGTATTTCATTATGGTTTTGTGTTGCATTCCTCGCGACAGAAACACTCAGGGTCACTCCAGGGAAACTGGGCTGCACGAAATAATCACACAAGAGACAGAGATACCTTTTT